TCCACGGCTAAGAGGACCAGCTTCCGGCTCTTCATGGTTATCGAAGTCTTCGGTTGAACATAAATTTTGTCTCCTCTCTTCTTTCGTGGCAGAACTTGGACATCCATGATGGTCTCATTGACGATCCCATCATGCTTCGAAATTAGAAACTCTACGGGGTCTGCCTTGATAGAGTCTTGATCTCTCCTCGCTTCAACCAAAACCTCAGCACGATTCGGACATGGTCGGTCGAAGTCATCCTGATGACTGATGATCTGGTCTCTCTTCGTCATTGATGTCGATCGATGATGTCTTGCTTCGAGGCTCTCGATTCTATATTTTATGCCGAAAGATCATGTTTGGGAATATTTCAGTTCGGGAATCGATTCCTTCTTGTGGACAATCGGGATGATGATCCTCTTCCTCTCGAATTTTTCTCAAACCCTTATTGGAGTGAATAAGTTCTGACTCCCGGATAGGCATGTACCTTCTTTTACAGACTGAGTACAGTCGCGATGGGATATACGCTCCGTAACGCCGTGTCGCAGTCCCAAATGAATTGCGATCCGCGGCGACAGTTCGCATGAAAAACGAAGTAAGCTGTTGACTGTCGTCTTTCGTCGCAGTCGCAGTGCCGTGGTCCACTGGACTAGCGTTAAGTCTTCCCAGCCCGCAGGCATTTTCTCGCGAGTCTTGAGAAGATTAGAGTGGCGTGGGAGATGGGAGGCACAGAGATGGAAGTCGACGAGGCTTCACAGGTGCGGACGGAAATGAGTGCTTCCAGTTATGAAGCCGTCCCCACACCGGTCCCAGCCACTCGCGCGACTGAGTCAAGCGGGAACAAGCGCCCCGAGCTTTACGCTCTGGTGGGGGCTGCGGGGACGTAACCTTGGAAGATGGTTTGTTTCTCTCCTCACTATTTGTTCGGCGGGTGAAATGATCGACTCGGCTGCCGTTCTGGGAGTTCGAATCGTCTCTTCACATTACAGTTCATAGGATGTTCGAGTGGACCACAAGTCCATTGGGATCGATGAGATCTCGGAAATGCAAAGTGTGCATCCCGCTCGAGTCATAAAGGCCTGCAACGGCAGCCTCACCGGATTGAAAGATCACGTTCGATTCCACCGCTCTTGGGGGAAGAGTAGATCCCGGACTCTGGAGGAAGAGATGCTGGCTGAGTCTATTGCAGCAGGCATGAGTTTCACTTGGTGTGACCTGGCCTGCCTGTGGAGGCTCTTTAAGTGGTCAAAGTTAGGGGAGACATCAAGGAGGCCGGCGGCGAGGGATTTTGACCGAAAGGCAGCAAGGCTTCAGAAACTGCTCGAAAATGATTCAAATGAACTGAAGGCATCTCCTGAGAATGTACTGGTGTTGAATCAGGACGAATGGACCTTCCAGCGCAAGAAGTGTCTCGGGGTCACGCTTCATTCCTCGAAAATATCACCCTCGGTGATGTCGGAGAGCGCAGAACTGCTCATGCTCAGACTAGCAGAAGGGTCGACAGCCGTACAGCTACGAGATGCACTACTTGATGGGTTGCCAGTGTTCGGCTTGAGTGTGACCGACATCCGAGGTATCACCACAGATGCCGCGTCTTGTATGATCCCTCTAGGAGGACTCCTACAAGAAGCGGCCGCGCCATCTCCTTTTTACCGACAAACTTGTTTCGACCATGCTTCCTACCTCGCAGTACTCGATAGCTTGAGCGCACGACCGTTCGACGATGCCCATTATCGGGCGGATGAGCGCCCTGCCCATGAGGACTTGGACAATCCTGATGAGGGAAACGAGTCTCAGAACATGACGCATAACGACGGAGACACGTACGAGGAGTGTGCGTTCGATGGCCACTTCGGCCGACAAGGTCGATCGCGTCATCGCTGCGTGCCGCTACTTTGCGAGAAGCACAACAGAACATGACGCTTTGCTAGCCCCCCGTCGACCGACCGGACGCAAAAAACTCCAACTTCTCCTACACTGTCCAACACGATGGAACAGCCTAGGAAAGATGCTACAAACATTTCTCGAGCTTGAACCGCAGATGCGGTAGGTTTATAATAAGGAGGAAATCGTTTTTCCGGTGACAATCGCAAATATCAAACTTATCACAGAAATGACAGAAGCATCGGTCGTCGTCGAACGCTCTGTTGTGATGATTTCTACAGAGGATGCGTCTATCTTGGACTCGGAGCGTATTCTCGAGGTATTATTATGAATCATAATTTATGCGAGTAATTGAGGTTCGCTCTCTCTGCTCCCGGATGTCATCAGAAATTCTGTCGACAAGCTCGGGGCAGTGGGCGTGGAGCGTGGAGTTTGATATTTTTTCCTTCCGGAGCCTCATTGAGACGTTACATGTGGATCCTGCCGACACCGACTCGGATTTTGCCAAAGCGCTCTGTCGTTGCATCTGCCGGAGAGTAATTCAAAGGCGTGGTTCTGTGCCAGAGATGCGCAGATACTTTGAGGAACGTTTCTATCGAGAATCAGCAAGAGGGCGTATTGTCCAGCATGAAACAGAGATTCGAGATGTTGATCATGTCCAAGAGAAATGCCCGGATGCAATCCCCGGACAGGTTCGACGGGTCCTCCGGAATTCCCCCCTTTCAGTTGGAACAAAGAGCGGACGAAATTCTGAGAGGCTTCGAGCCGGGAGAAACGCACGAGTCTGACGCCGCCAATGCTCCTCCGTCTAATTTGATCGCTTGTTTGGGCTGCATCCAGCCTACTAGCGTCGCTCCTGAGAGAGCATTCAGCTGGGCCAGAAATATCAAACATTACTCTTGTGAGCGCCCCGACGACGACAGATTCAGACGGATAATATTTGTGAAGAGCATGTTGCGTAATCACACCGAGGAAGAATCACGCTCGCTCGAGAAGATAGTCGATGCCCATGATGAACCTGAAGCCCAGTCTCAGATTGATGAAGAGCAGTGGTTGGGAGCTCGGCGATCTTCTCGTATCATGAGCTTAAAAATAAAGAGTTCGTGGCCGATATTATAAGTTTCTCTCATGTTGAGAGCATACGCAAAGAGGCGAAGGACGATCGCGCCTTCCCTATCGAATGATTGAGCTTCGCTTGGAGCAAGAAGTGGGAATGCCGCCGTTGTCAAAGAAGCTCGGCCCTACTGAATTTGAAAATACAGCTCGCGGACATCGCGTCGCTCGACAGAGATTTTCTCTGGAGATTCCCCTTTTTTTCGACAAGGTCTTTCTGATCCGGAAGTTCCGGATCAGAGAGACCCTATCAAAAATTGCGAATAATGAGAGGACTCGGAAGGATTACGACGACGGAGCCAAAGTTTTACCACCAAAGACAACGCAACAACGCGGAGAGGCCGGACAGGGTCGTGGCAACGCGCGGCGAGCACAGCTAGTTTTTAATATTTAACACACATTTATACAGACTAGAAGCCTCATGCTGCCGTAGAACCTATGAGAACGTTGCACTTCCGGATTCGGATCATCAGGAGAGACTCGGTTGTGCAGCGAGCAGCGAGGGGAGAGGAGAGAGCCCGTCGCTGTGATTGAGAAACGGTCAAAGCACATTTATCCTCGTGTCCATCTGTCAGTACCAAGTGTCAGATATTGAGTAGAAATCATGGATGCAAATCACGAATCCACGCTCATCTGCCGGCGAGCATCGTCCCAGCGTAATGCATCCGCTGAGTATCCTATATAGATATAGCGTATATTCATGTTCTTTTCCACGCGATTTCAGGGGCGTCTGAATCAAGTCGGGAATATGTATATTGAGGAGCCATCTGAATCCCACGATTTCTCGCTAAGATCGTCTCACATGGAATCGCGGTCATTTGTTATCAACTTGGTGAAAATCCGTCGAGTAGCTGATGACTTTGAGCCCTGCGAATCGTTACAGAAAACGGTGCATGATGGCAGGAGATACACCTGACCGTTCGAAAGACGTTTCCACGTCAGAAGGATCGTACGATAATTCTTTGATGACTACAAGTAGGTGGTCGTCAACGTTCGCAACGAGCTGAAGACCCCTTTTCGAAGAGCTGAAAATATGGTCTCGAACACTTTTTCTGAGAAACGGCGGTTACCCAACAGCACGTAGACATCGGCTGCATCAGCCCCGTGACCTTGATTTTATCTTCCTTTCTCCAGATTGTGTTTTTCTCTGTTGTTTGCGGGTGAAAGCTTATCTACTTTGCTTCACCTCCAAGACGACTCTGACATATCTCCACCGATCTGTCGAACTTCGAGGTGATCACAGCGTTGAACCCTGAGAGTCAAGGCCGTTCATCACGAATGAAGAAATTCCTGCAGCTCCATCCCATGAATTCGGCCCCGCTCTGTCGAACGCCATGAGTCATCACTCATGAGCTTCATCGCTTTCCCCCTTCGCTCGGAAGCTGATGAGCTCCTCGGACCCCATTGTGGGAGGAAAGCGATCTCGGGATTCAGTCCGCGAATTATTGAGACTCTACTTCACTGTGGGAGCGGAGACTGGGCGCGGGGAAGCATATCCACGGGGGTAACGAACGAAGGAGCGGCAAAGTAACCAGACCGTCGCTCGATCGACTCGCCCAGGGGTCAGATCGCTGATCGAAATCACCCTATATCCGCTACCTCCTCCATGGGAGTTTAGGAGTGGGTGAATCGATGCGCCTCTGATTGTCCTCCAATGAGGGAGATTTTCGTACGTCCACGATGCCCATCAGGGATCGAATACTCGAGTCTGCTTCCCACCGAGAGAATAGACATCCAGGAAGAAGCGTCTGGAGTCTAGAGCGTCTTTATCATGGATAGCGAACAATCCAGCCGGACGAATTGACTGCGCAAGTTACTCTTTGAGACTCGCTCCCATTTACAGAACGAGGCGTCTTATAGATCTTCGTCTGCAATCAATGGTATATCAACATAAAAGCGCCGGCGGGATCCGCGCTTCAATACCCATCTCGAAACCTGCTTCTGCATCCTCCTCTCCAGACGCCCTCAACGCCGCGAATTATTATTATATAAAAACCTCGCCGAAGAGGGGAAGAGACACGATTTCTTCAGTCTATACTCTCACAATGCGTCTCGCGATTCTCGCCGTGGCCGTTACTGTGGCTTCAGCAGTGAGTACAACCAAGATTCGATCAGACTTTGCGAAAAGCCGCATATTTCATGAAAAACCTCGGTTATCAACTGCGCTCATTCGCTTTTCCCCATAGAGCCCCATGCTGAAGAAAAAAACGCAATTTCGGTGATAGCCGCGGTCGCAGAGCCAAGATTCGACTGAATAAACTCTAGCGACTGCCAGATATCCTGCTCCCGATGGCGACTACTCTCTTATGGTTTTCAGAATGCGCAGGGATACCGAGAAGAGGTGAAATACGATCCCATCCCATATCAATTCGCTTACAAAGCTGAGTCCAATGAAGGATCCAACAGCCACGAAGAAACATCCGATGGCAACGGACGGGTGCAGGGTTCCTACTCCTTCAGTCTGGCCGATGGTCGCGAGCGCACTGTCACATACTGGGCCGACGAAAGCGGATTCCACGCCGATGTGAAAACTAATGAGCTCGGAACGGAGACCAAAGACGCTTCCGACGCGAAATATTCTTCTTCAGCCATCACGGGTGAGCAGGCTGCGGTACAGTACGGAGCTCAAGTACAGGCAGAGCAGAAAACGAAGATCTACCAAGACCCTGCTCCAATCGTCAACGTTCGAGCTACCCCTGCCCCGGTCAAGATCCACACTGTCCCCGCTGTTTTCAAGTCTTACGAGCCCGTTGCCGTGATCAAATACGCTGCTGCCGCTCCGACCGTCTACAAGACCGTTCAGGCTGTTCAAGCATCCCCTACCGTCATCAAGACAATCCAAGCTGCTTCCCCAGTTTACAAAACAATCCAGGCTGCTCCCACGATTTTCAAGACGATCGGGGCTGCTCCAATCTCCTACGCCTACGCGCACGCTCCAGTGAGCTACACCCAGTCCGCTTCACCTTTCCAATACGTCCCAAACGATTACAATCACGTCATCCAGAACGCCTGAGTCGGTCACATGTTTCTTTTGATTCCATATTACACGCGGCCGAGGTCTAGCGGGTGGACCGAATTTCAATAAAAACGACCACGCTCCTCTATACGGTACTTCTCTTCGTCGATTTCGATGCTGTTCGTGAGTCGGGAGACGAAAAATCCGAACCAACATCAATTTGCAAGTCTTCTCCATCCGTCTCCGTTCTGATTCTGGCGGAGCGAGAGAAGCGATGTCGGGTCCATCAGCCTCGCTCGTTATTCCGGCGCGCTCCAAGGATGCCTCCTTGGAGGAAGTTTAGCCTCCCTGCAACCCGACCGGCTGGCGAGTGTCTCTCAGATTTCGGATGCTCTTTCGGCTTCAAACCTCATTTGGGAAAGCTGTACGCAGCCTAACCCTAGCTGTCGTAAAGTCATTTCTTTGTATAGTCCATTTCGCCTCTTTTTGACATAATCCATCATTCCCTACCCAAGCTAACCTCTGACTAGTCAGGCATCTGAGAGTAAGACATTTGGAATGGTACTGTCGCGCATGTTTGCACTTGAATCGGGCCCGCGCTCAATTTGGCTCGAGCTCAAATCGGACTCGCTCTGGAATAGGCTCGCGCTCAAAAGTTTGGCGACCGGATCACAGTAAGCCCTCGACTATTCGCGGTTTAATTTCCGCGGTCTTGATAACTCGCGGATCTCTGGTGATGGTGAGCCCTCGATTATCCGCGGTATGATACTCGCGGTCTCGATAATTCGCGGCTCTCGTTCTAGTACATGCACGCATATGGATATCAATAATATCCTCCCGGTCATTGCGATCAACGGCTCTTGGCGGATGTCGTGAGAGTTTGATGGAAGTCTCGGGAGGAATCGGTGAGCTTTTATCAAGAATTAGGCGTTCCTGAAAGAAGGACTTCAGGTTCGCGGAAATTCGATTTTCGCGGAAGGCTTCGGTACCAATTGACCGCGAAAAACAAGGGCTCACTGTATCGCCCCATAGAGGTTTTGGATCGTATCGGGAAGCAATGGATAAATCTCCCGGGAGAACTCTCACGGGGCCGAGAGAGCCGCAGTTCAGGAGTACTGGACGCTCCGGCTTATCCCGGATGCCGGAGCGTCGAACCTCAGTCCCCCGCTGCTCTCTCCCTCCATCGATGAACTCAATTAGTGCACCGTTCTTCGGTTGAAGGAGCGAAAACGCACCATTGTTCCTGTCTAATTGTCACCCTCGCCCTCTCAAAAAGTGCTGCCAGCGCTGTTGAATCGCTTGAGCCCATCTTCAACCTTTCCCTTAGGTCCTCTAATGTTCTTTCTTTGCTCGGAAGTGGTACTACATCACGCCCGTGTACAGATATGTAATAGGATTCTCGCTCCGACGTCCTTGTTTGCGGGTCAACATCCATCACTCACGGGCGAACTCACCGAGTAGGCGGCAGATTCCGTAGGCCGGCGACCTAGTTGGGCCCCACTTTGATTTTCGGCACTATGCACAATATAATCAGTGGGCGGCAGCCTATATAAAGGGGTCTCGTAGTCAGAATAATGTATCGTAGATAACGGAAACACTGAACTGTCCGTCATGTGTCGTCTATGATTAACTGGCGCAGTCGACAGAGAAAGTAAAATGGTCTGCATCACTGTCCGGATCCGAGGAGACTCGTAGACGAGTCCGAAAGACTACGTGGTGACGTCCTTCGAAGAGGATGGCGACATTGATTGGATTCCCCTAGACGCTGAGTCGGGTGGTGTATTGAAAAATCTCATCGGCAACAAAAGAGCCCTTGCCGGAGCTAATCGCAACACAGGAGTTCCGCGTGGACGTGCCCGCAGCAGAGCTCAGGAGTGACTCGCCTCGTAGTGGAGCGCCTCTCACGCCACGGCTGAGCGCCGTTCCCCTTGCAAAGGAACAGAAGGAGACGGAGACCGCATCGGTGGTTCCGGAAGTCGTCGCTAAATTCGCGAAGGCGATTGCGAAGGAAATCGCTCAGGAGAGAGTCAAGGCAAAGCCTTCAATTTTCCGTGGTGTGTCTGACAAGCTGATTCCAGAGGCATGGATAGAACAGTTCGAACATTTTACTAAGGATTGCGAGTGTTTCGAAACGGTCATGCGAGAGTACTTGTCTGGAGCTGCACTCACTTGGTACAACTCAGCGTTAGCGGTTCTCGGTACCGACACCTTGTGGTCAAAATGGAAGGGAAATTTTCTGATGGCTTTTCCCACAGACCATTTGCGTGACGCTGTATGAGTCATGACGTGTGATGGTGTGCCAAAGAGGTATTACTGTAAGCTCGGTAATGAGGACAGGCAAGCGTCTCTCCGTAACGTGGTGCGATATGTTCCGCGGAGGGAACAAGGTTGTTTCAGGGGAAAAAGGCGGCAGCCTATTTAAAGGGGTCTCGTAGTCAGAAGTTGCAGTCCGTCGACGAGGAACGTTCGAGAAGTTTGGTTTTGTAGGCCGCTTGGTGGATCTTGATCGTTCGCTGTTCGCGATTTCGAACGATCTCTAAGCCGATGAAACAATCTGCTCGACCACGCGTCATCTTGAAAGTCTTCTCCCGCGAATCGAAAAACTCGTTTACGACCTCAAGCGGAGGCGTCGGGGCGGCACAGAGACCATTGTCATCGTCCACGTACAGAGCGAACAGCAGACCATCTTGTTCGCTCACATAGACACACGGATCTCGCAGACAAGGCACAAGATTCAACTCTCTCTGAACAGCCGATATTCTCTTGTTCCACTGCAAGGGAGCTTGCCGGAGTCCGTACACGGCCTTGTCGAGCTTACAGACTCTACCGCTGCCATCGTCGAAACCTTCTGGCTGCTGCTTGAAGTCGCGCACCCAGAGCACGCGCGCCCAGAGCAAGCTCACCCGGAGCCAGCGCATGTGCAGAGAGTCTAGCGCTACCGAGTCGTTGCGAGGCGGGGACCGGGAACGCTAGTCTATACATATAAAAATCGCATGTATGTATGTTTGCGTGTTTGTGACTTATGGCTGGCCAAACTACTGATCGGATTCTGACGAAACTTCACAAAAATCATCAATACGATCGCGGAATGGTTTTTGTCCGCTCAAAAATCATATCTACCGATTTTGGATCTTCGCTTCTACATCGTCTTCTTTTTTCGCTTCCGAACCGAACATGCTTGGAAGAGGGTGGAGTGAGCAGCGTGCACTTTCGCGTGCTACTTTCGAACTAATCAAGTTTGGAAGAGGGTGGGGCGAGCACCGTGCAACCTCATAGTTTTCATGCACGATGTCTCTTTATTGGAGAGTGTCTTCAAAACCGTACTTAAACTGTTTTTACTTCCCGAGCGTTTTGATGTTTCGTTTCCCGGACTCCAAAAGATGGTTTTTCCGGCGTAACATCGTCGTTTTCTTCCCCGAGCGGGTGGGATAAGGGCGGTAGAGGGCAGCAGACCATTCATTGTTAACGCGCACGACGATCTGGTGAGTCGAGACGCATTTGCAAGCGCTCAAATCTTTTTTTTCCATGATTTTACTTTGGTGAATGCATCATGCCTCCAAAGCGTCCAGCTATTGGGCGCACGAGCCGTCAAGCTGTGAAACGAAGGGCATCAATTGCGAGTGAAACCGGCGCCCAGCGTAGGCTGCGGTTAGAGTCCATTCGTTTGCGAACGTTGAATGTTCGTTCAAACGAGACTGTCGAACAACATGTGTCAAGACGTGCTTTTAATCGTTTTCGTGATCGTAGCTATCGTTCGCATGAGAACGAGGAGCATCGGAACACGCGATTGGCGGTTGCCCGTACACGGGCTGCGGTTTCGCGTTCAACGGAGGATGTTGAGCATCGTGAATCAAGATTAAGATCACTCAGAGTTCGAGCCTTCGAAACTCGCTCAGTTGAGACGGCAGATCACCGTACAATGAGACTTCAATCCATGCGTGAAAGCATTGCGCAACGCAGGCGATTGATTTAAAGTCGGCAAACCCGTTGAAGGGTATTCGGATTTGTTCTCATCCGACACATTAGGTCGACTGTACACCGTACATCCGAACAACCAAGAATGCTTTTACCTCCGTTTGTTGCTGGTGAATGTTCGCGGACCTAAATCATTTCAGAACTTGAGAACCGTAAATGAAATTGTTTATGCTTCATATCGGGAAGCATGCCAGGAAATGAACCTTCTCGAAAACGATAAACAAATGGGAAATGGCACTCGAAGATGCCTCTAATTGCGCGTCTCCATCCCAGATACGGTCATTGTTCGCTATCATATTAACTACATGTTTCCCGGCTACTCCGAATGAGCTCTGGGTGAAATTCAAAGACCATATGAGCGAGGACATCCTCTATCGTTATCGAACAGTAAGTCAAGACCCAAACATGGCTTTTGAACCTTGTATGCACAACGAGGCTATGATCCAGTTAG